TGGTGGGAGAACGAATATGCAAATAACCATATGGTTTGGATTACAAAAGAAACAAAAATTTCTTTACAGAAAAGCGAAAGAGAAGATTAGGTAAATAATATAGACGTTCACACTCTCATCGATCGGATTAAAACCGGTAATAACATTAAAAATGCTGTTATTTGTCATTAGGTTTGTCCTTCATATGCTTTATCAAAGTCTTAAACGTGATAAGTGTAGGGGTTGTCTTACAAAGTGAGCAGGATATGTCTGATTCGGTATCATTAAACAGTTTTCAAGATCGGCTTTCTTAATTATTCTGTATGATGCATTCCGCGTCGAATATTATAAGCATATTCCTTTGAGACATCTATTCTCATGACCTGAACTCTATTAACTTCCCTGAAGTATGTCAACCACTTTCAACTTTCTCTATCATGTCAGATTCAATAGAAAACCGTCCCTTAACAGTTTATGTAGCTTCAACGATTTATTCTTATCTTCTTTCATTTTCCAGATGGTCGCTTTGCTATTTTCAACAAGGTCTCATAATGGCTTTCTTATTATCAAGTAGTCTTCGTGCCTTTTCACATCTTTATCTTGTGTTAGCAGGTATCTCGAGAACATTTAAATTAATGTACAGCTTAGATATAGTTCATTGAGTGTATCCGTATGATAATTATAATAAGCGGATGTTAAGGAAAAAATATATTAAAATTATTAACGTAAAGCTACTAACACTACAAACGTGTGTTAACCGATCAGCCATGTAATTAAAATAAAGCAGCCGTTTTAAACTGCAAAAAATAATGGCATTATAGCGTTATCAAATCTTAGGTTAAGCATAAAAAGTATTTTTGAAATAGGATTGTTTAGCTCAAGCATTTTGTGTCAAGTTAAATAATCTAACTCTTAGAAGTAATTCTGTTTAAATGCTTTCCATTCAGCATCCCATTATAATTACTTTCTTCCTCTGTGCATAAAACTACATTCTTTATCTTTACTAGTTTTTTTTTCAGTCCTGTTTGCCTATTGATAACTGTTACTTATTACTTCTCAAGTGTTTACTTGTTCTCCTGACCTTTTTTTATCTGTAAAAATTTTTAAAAAAACAATAGTAGGTACAGAGAAAAAGACATTTTTGACACCACGGCCTCACAGAATATTTGGAGCAAAAAGCAATTGCCCAAACTATAATCTCACATAATAATTGGAAGTATTGTGCAAGTAAAATAAATGTTTGAGCTCACATGCTGAAGTTTAAATTTATTAGAAAAAAGAGACAGCACCTTTTTTGATCAAGATGAAGTGAAGAGACAAGCAAGTTCTCACTGCGTTTCTACGTATTCATTCAATATACTAGGAAACGGGAACTGGAGCAATAAAGTCATCACAATCATTGGTCGAAATCATGTGCCGCACAGAGAAATTCATGTGATCGAATTTTTCACAGTGCGTAGACAGTAATAGTCCTTCGCTTTGCTCCGGACAACTACACAACTTCTTAAGACAATGGTGATGCAGTGATGTGATGGATTAATGATGGATCAATTAGCCCAAAAATATATTTGAAGATCATCCTTACTATTACCAGAACGGTATTAAGGAATACGTCATTAGTCGAGAGTTGCCCGAATATACAAATTCCTAAGAATATGGAGGCATTATGCGTATATAATTATTATAATTATATTAGTTCGGAATGATAGTTGAAGCCAATGTGAAGACGACGAAGAATGAAACAAAATTCATGGTGCATGGATGTAAACTAAGTATAAAATAAACTTATATCAATAAAGCGTGTCTTTTCGGACTTCTAGACGAAGCTTGAATCATATTATTTGGATCTATTATTACTATGTGTAATCAGTTGGAGTTAATTCCGTCCTCAGCAAATAACATTTAGAGACGCGTATTTTTGTGCAACAATAGAAAAGAGATCGCCATCACGCGTTATTTCCTCTGGAGAAACATTCTCACCAATTAATTACACAAGGAAGCGATATGGAAATCGACAATGACATAGTGAATACCCAGCTGTGGGTTGACAAGTATAGGCCGAAGAAATTTACTGATTTATCTGGTGACGAGGTTGGTTGTGACAGATTGATGGACTATATTACAATGACATCATCCGTAAGTGGCAATTGCATCAAATGTGATGATTGCTTTATAGAGATTGAACAGAGAATGTCTCAAATGGTTAAAACAATGGGATTACTGTGTGTTCGGCAAAACACATCGGCAAGTCAAGGCTCAAAATTTGGAAAATAAAGTATATTACATTCAATCTTGCTGTATAGGTGGAGTCTATTGTGCGAGAAATCTGAATCTAACCGGACTATATTTGATCTGCAATTTAAGGACCCTTTACAACGTCCAGAGAAAAGAGTACGTGTAGAAAGCCCGAGTATAGGCTTTGAATAATAAAATGAAACAATCGATTGAATTTTACTACATTTCAACAGGTATTGTTACTTGTTGGCCCACCTGGATCAACAAAGACTACAGTGGCTCATGCTATAGCGAGACATTGTGGATATCACATTGTCGAAGTTAATGCAAGGTATAACAGACAGCTTGTCTTATTAGTCCGGTATATTGGTTAATACTTTTGATAATCGTAGCGACGATCGATCAGGCCAGGTGGTTCAAAACAAAATCAGAGATCTTCTTCGATGGCAATCTGCTTACAAGAAGCCGAATATTCTCATTATTGATGAAGTTGATGGCGCCATCGGTGGGGGCGAACAAGTGAGTGAACAGGATTATCAGTTTTTTGCTGTGATTACAGCCTAATATTAAAAGATACTCTGTCGGTCTAGAGTTTTATTAAGCTTCTTGTTGACATTATAAAAGATGATGATACAAGGAGAGACAAGTCAAGTGAGTGATGTTGAGATTACAAGATTATCTTGAAAAACGAATCATTAACTTTATTTTTATTTGTACAGAAGGAGGAAACAAATCTAAAGAAAGGAATCGCTTACGACGGCCAATTGTCTGCATTTGCAATGACCAGTACGTTCCTTCCATGAGACCCCTCCGAGAAATAGCACAGGTATATCAATTCCGGAAATGCCAGTCAGCCGTGATTTCACCGCAACTCCAGAAAATATGCAAATTAGAAGGTGTATCAACGGATCTGAGAACTTTGTCTGCACTCGTAGACGCGGCAGAGGGAGATCTACGAACATGTTTGAACACTTTACAGGTACATGTATATTATGATGTTTCTTTAACCGTGATCGTGATGCCTGTTTGCTAATACTTTATACAGTTTCTCAGTCAAAAATCAAAAGTAATTACAACGGAAATGGTAAATCGGGATAGTATTGGATTAAGAGACGTAAACCAGTCTTTGTTTCATATATGGGAAGAGATCTTTCAATCGAAAAGTGGACAAAAGAAAAGGATAGAGAGTAGGGTTGTTACCGAAGAAGTTGCTGCCTCAAGAGGTAGGACGTATCTTTTTTTTTGTTTGCTCAGGTACTTTCGCTTTTCTATAATTTTAACGATATACACTATCTGACGGATTTTTGAACATAAGAGGACAAATATCTTGCGCGCCTTACGTCAATGATTAACACAAATTCGGAATACGATAAATTGATGCAGGGTAATTGTTATAGGCTATTCACGACTTTTCAAACCAATAGATTCTAAAGTTATTTATATTACAGGATGCTTCGAGAACTATCCAAACATGAAATTTAACGATTCAAATTTTTCTAAACGGCTCGACATTTGCGAATGGCTTGTCTTTTACGATGAAGTGAATCAACGACTCAATTCACGCCAGCAGTTCGAATTACAACCTTATTTGCCCTATAGTCTCACCGCATTTCATCCTTTATTTGCAGGCAGCGTTAAGCAGGACATCAAGTATCCGAGAACAGATTATCAGGTGTGTTTCCTACCGCCTAGACAGTAATTGAATGAGGGTCACTTATATTTTGTTCGTTTTTTCCTACAGTATTTCATGAAAGCTAAAGAGCATGAACAATCAATTGCATCATTCCTTGATGAATCACCGAGATACCTTAGTGCAATACCAAAAGAAAAATTTGTTACAGAGTATTTTCCCTATGTCTCTAAATTAATCGACCGTAATGCACAACAGGTAAGATTTCCAACCCATAAATTATTATCCTTCATTGATGTTTATTCATGCAATTGCATTTCCTATTTTTTATAGAAAGCGGATCGTCTCTCAAAAGTTGTAAACATTGTGTCTCGGGTAAACATACTCAAAGTTCCTAATTTGTTGTGAAATATGCAAATCCATTAAGTCCACAATTTGAATTTTTGTAGAAAAACATACTATCATCGCATACCGACGTAAATATACCAGTGTTTAAAGATATTGCATTCGCATGATTATCCCCGTGGTTTAACAAATTTCTCTTCTTATAGCAAGAAGCTCCTGTTGATTTCTTTGGAAGGCCAGTAAAACGAAATGCCGGAGCACAGTCAAAACGAGGTATCTAATTCATACAAACATTCGATATGACTGTACGATTCACATAAAACACTTTATTAACAATTTGACATGCTTTCAACTGTAGTGAAAAAGGAAGAGACACGTACTGTCTACTTCCGTTTTAACGAAGGGTTTTCAAACGCGCCACGACAAAAGATGAGGATTCGGGATTTCTTGTAATGTAAAGAATGTGTTAAAATAGAAACTTACGATGGATAGTGTTAACAAAATACAATATGAGTTTCATACCTATTTATTCTCTTCCAGGAAATAATCGGCTGTATTGTATATTTCTAAAGGCTTCATTGGAGGCAAATCAATTTCGGAAGGTTCTACGCTTCTAGCTGTATTCTATGAAGAATAGTATTAGAGTTGTTTCTCTCGGTTAGACAGTGGTTTATCCCTATTACCAATTTCAGAGACTCCCAGACACGATTAATGGGACTCGTTAGGAATCGTTCGGCTTCATCGACACGATCTGTTACATCGTTCACCGTTTTCTTTACTACATTCATGAATGCCTACAGCCGATAAAAATGAGATGAAGACAACTTCGACATACGCATACAAATTCTTATGGCAGGCATACTTCGAGATTATCAATCTTATTATATAAGGCATCTAGATGATGTGCTGCTTCGAAAAGCTCTTTAGCAGATTCCGATTGTTTTGCGGATTCGGATCTGATCTATGAGGAAAGATTCTAAAAAGAATTCAGTTTATCAGCAGCGACGAAAAAATGACATTCTTTTATCGTACCTGTTCAAGAGAGACTTTCATATCTTCCATTTGACTCGATGCAATTGCGATGTTTGAATTTATCTCTTTCACCTTGATCAAATCACGGATGGTTAATTACAAGACCATTGCACAACCTGTCATTAAATAGATTTCTACTTACAATTTGGCTACCTGTCTCAGAAACATCCAAATGTTTAGCAAGTTCTCTTGCAACTTCCTTAAGGTCGGCCGAAGACGTGAACTCCATCACCTTTTAGCAGAGCCAACAGGCCTATAAGAACACAGTCGTGAAACGTTCTCACAGGGATACAAACTAAACACCATTACGTGAATGACGTCACACTGGTTGGTGGATAGTTACGAAGATCTATTGCTAAGTTTATTGTTAATATTGCGAGCCTCATCTTTGTTATCAGATTCACTGGTAGAAATCGTTACGCCCCAAATAAACCAATCTTCTTGAAGTTATCGAATTATCGGAATCGCAGGCCTGGCAAAAAACGGGTCCTTGGAGCGTGACTTGTAATCCTTGGAAGTTTTTCAGATTGATAATAGTAAAGCTTATCGTGGAACCAGTAATAGTTGCCTATCCATAATTTACATTTGAATTCAGTACAGGGTTAATTAACTTTGACTAATATAAACTCAAATGATTCAAATTTATGAGTGTATTCGCATCTGGTTAAATATATGTTAATTGAAGTCATACAAAATTACCACTGCTAACATTCCACTTTGAATTGCTAACTGCAGGGGGAAATACAAGATGCCCTTGGTATATAAAAGAATATCAGTGAGGTTGCCTAGTCAAAGAAACATTGATACTTCAGAACAAAGAATTAATTGTAGATCAGAGTATATGATTGTTATATTTTAGCTGCTCTTCGTATTATAATTATACAAGTTGCAATAGTTAATTTTGAAGCTGCATTGTTATTGTGGAATTTGCGTAAACAGATGCCGTCACTTCATTGTTTCTTCGAACGGCATGTGAAATTTTTAGTGAATAAACACTTAAATTGGGCTTAGCGAGCACAATTTCGCTTTATTCGGAGGCCTATACTCGTAAAGCCCGCACGCGGCGACATCGTTTCTTATCAGCCGTCGACTCAATCAATCGGAATTATGACAGAGTTGGCACTTAGTTGTTTGCGTCCAACCATCTGGCCATCACGTAGAGTGTATAATCCTCTGCATTTTCAGCGTGCAATAGCCCTTTGAGACCGCTCTTCCACGTTAACCCGTCACTGTCGCAAAAAAGTGATTCTAGATACTTTTATTGGTAATCCGAAGCAAAATTATATTAGTCTTAATATTAAATAATGTCTAATTTTAAATACAGCCGATCGAATTCACATTAACGTTAGGCGACGTCTTTGGACTAGATCGGTAATTTCCGAGTATTGAAGAAGGTAGATGTCATTCGCCTTCATTTCTATAAAATCTCTGTTGTAAGATAAATAATATTAGAAACAGGATGCATGTAATCAGTGTTATATTCACAAATGGCTTACCTTTTCAACCGCCTCTCTCCAATAGTCTCGTCGACATGACAGAACACGGGCACGTCGGCCTGCGGATATAGGCCTGCCAATGACGCACCATATAAGCCATGCATCGTACTTCCACGCTATGCGGTACATAATCCATGCTTACCTTGATTTAGTAGATGTTTGACTTCTTGTGGACAATCACGTTTATACGACGAATCCTCATACTCAGCAAGCAGATTTGCATACTTTTCGGCAAAATCCAGTTCTATGCTCGTCAGTTTCACCCTTTCTTCAGGATTCTTCAATATGTGGCGGACATGTGTTTCGATCTGTTTCGAATATCAAATGGGAGTGAACTAAGTCATGTTGAGCCAAACTCAGTTTAATCCCCACGATTGATTCTTATTGATTACGCACTTTTTCTCTTCTGATGTCAGCATATGACTCAAGAATATACTTTGTTCTATCTATATCGATCTGGGCGACAATATGCTCAATAGTGTCGCGAGGACGCTGATTTTCATTCTCAATCTCGTCATATTTATCGTCCTATAAATATTTTTAGATCTCCCATAGATCAATGATAACTGCCACAACCACATAATGCTAGCATCAGAAGAGAAAAAGTGCGTAATCAAT